AACTTACTCAACTTTAGCTACATATAGTGATTACTAGAATAACACAAAATTTTCGTAGCAACCCATAGTAGAAATCATGGTAGTAAATCAATTCAACCACATTCTGTGGCCACCAGAATGTAAGTTCTGTATCAGAGTTTTTACAGTATTTTGTGATAGAAATTATGATAATTTCAATTACAAATCAATACAACTTAAACACACATTATTGTATTGTAACCAGTGTTTCGGCTTAAACCTCCCCAAAGTCCGAAACGTTTCGGCCCTGGAGTTTCGGTTTCGCCCAAAATCTGAAATCTCCGAAATGGCTAAAACTTCTGAAATAGGTGAAACCTCTGAAACAGCCAAAACCTCCGAAACCCTCTGACCTCATCCTTCAAATCCTTCCAACCTCTCCATTTTTCGGAACCTTACGGAACTTTCCTCTATTTTTTCTTCATCTTGCTTGTCAAGGTAGGACCGTCCATGTTACACAAACGATCCCAATTGATAAAAATTTTTTTTTATACGTTTTACAATACTTTTTCGGAAGCTCAGGTAGATTATCTCTTCTGTGAAATAGGAAAAGTGCACTAAGTGAACTTGAAGCTTTCACTCTACCCTACAACATATTCGCTAAATCCATCTGAATCCAACCGCCTTCATACTTTTTTTTTTTGTTAAAGTCATATCTGAAATTAGGAAATGCAGCAACTGCCCTGCCACCGATTCAGCGAGATTTCATCCACTGAAAGATGAAAAATGGAGAGAGGCTGAACGTAGAGGCTTAATAAGAGATAAGTGGGAAGAGAGTATTATTTTGTACAATAAATGTTATATGAATTACCTGCTAAACGAATGAAAATTTTAGTTCAAGAGGTAGAATCTAATATTAGGGAAGAAATACAAATTCCAGGTAACGAAGATATAGAAGTTGTAAATGAAGAGATAAGTATGGTTGAACTCATTGGGGCTATCAAGACAATAGCAAGAATATCTATAATAAAGAACATGTAATAAATAAAAGTCCTATATATTCGTATGATGAATTGCAAGAAGAATTTCAAACCAATGAGGGCTTAAAAAATTTTCTTGACCAACTTTATTTGGCGGCTAGACCACTTGAACGTACCAATCAAACCATGGATTGTATGAAAAAATTAATAGTACACATATGTTATCTTCTTGCATCATTAAATAATTCAAAGATTAATGCTTTTAAATTCGATTTAGCATATTATTTGGATTCTGTAGGTATGAGTAATGAAGGTTTGGATACGATGGCAAATCTTGGCATGACTACAACATCAAGAGCGGTAGACTGAAAGAAAAAGAAAAATTCAGATGCTCATGAGAAATATGTAGAAAATGCTCTTTCAAAATATTTGAATAGAGCTTTTGTGCTGAATATTGATGACTATCACAATATTCATATTCCACGGCAGTCCGATTCTCTAATACATCCCGTCCAATACACATGGCAACAATTGTGGCAAATTCATGTTCCATGGTGGCGATACCAAGTAATGGGGTACGCAATCCAAAATTTCTTGATGGCGATCTTACAATAAAACATCTCGACGAACAGTTTATTATAAGCCTTGGTATTCCTTATCATGGACGTTGTCAAAATTATAAAGGTGAGTGTTCTGACGATGAGCTCATTGAAAAACTAACTTTGCATAGTTACAACGACAGGTTAGTGGAAAAAAAGAATGACCGACATATACAAAATGCCATTCTTTTTAATTTTGTTTGAGGCAATTTGAAGGGGGTTGAAAATTATACAAAAGCTCTTCAAATTGTATATAATCAAGAATCGATGCAAGAATATCTTTCCAACCACGTAATCCCTATCATTGCAGATTGGCCTGGTCAGTTCTTTATTCGCAAGGCTATTGCGTATCGGCTTCTTCTCAACAATGAAATCATTTTTTCATTTGTTATGTCGTTCTTGCCTATTATGGGACCCTTCATGTGTCTTTGAATAGTCGGGAACTCGTTTATAAGAAAAATTCCTTTCTATTTAACAATATTTACAAGGGCATATTTGGAAAAAAGAAAAATCTTGGTAAGAAGCCACGGCCATGGCAAATCGATTTAATCCTCCAACTTATGCGTATAGCGTGGCTTGACATATCTAATATAGTTTATTCAAAGTTTGGTCAAATATGCAAGAATCTTGAATTTTTATATCTAACCGATCTTTTGAGCAATTTAATTCCTTTAGTTCTCGACGTTTATGTGGTGCACCATCGAGAAGGTGACTGGGCAGCTTATGAAGAAGCCTGTTTACGTTGTTGGAGTAATCTATTTCTTCGATTTGATCAAAGAAATTATAAATGTGCTCCTTTAATGTTTTTTTCAGATATATTTTTTTGGACAGATACTAACCATCCAATAATGAATATAATTACTAATTATCTTGCATCTTTAAGCGATTGTCCTGTAGAAACCATTTATAGTGTCATTCGACGACATATGGCTAAATTTTTCATGGCAGATCAATTGCAAAAAGAGGCACGTTTTATGTTTCAAAATCAGGAGGATAACACGTTTCGTCAACACTTTGTGAATTCTATGAAGTATCCTTACAAACCGAAGCAATTACACATGTTATCTCGCAAATGTGCTACAGTCCTTTTAGAAATATTTACAAAGATATATGAAGCACGCTATCTGTATCCTTTGATTGTTAGTTCGTCTGATGATGGTATTAATTCATATAAGTTGCCTTCTTTAGGCTATGATATAACCGATCGCCACCTTCCAAGGGGTTTCGTTACCTCTAGAAAACCGTATACAAGTGTATTGTGTGATTATTTATGCTGCGATTGTACTAATTATACAAATTTTTTTGAAAATGGTATTATCCTTGCATGTGGGCATGGTTATCATAACCGTTGCTTACAAAGATGCAACTTTAAGTGTTTAATTTGTTTAGGTTATCTTTGGGATGAGATTATAACCAACATCGAAGCACTCAAAGTAAGTATGACGAAAGATTTAGGCGAAAATGAATTTATTGAAGAGCATACTGAAAATACTATTGAGGATGAATCAGATGATGCTGAGGCAGTAATGGATATTGCAGAAACGGTGGATAATTTATTAGAAAATGCAAAAAACAATTTTTTAAATATTAAATAAATCCGACCCTTAATTATTATAAAACTTTTTTAATAAATCCCGTGGTATATCTTGTAAAATTAAAAATTAAAGTTTTTTAATAAATCCCGTGGAAATGTTTCATTATGATCTCGATGTTCCAACCCTTGCGAATGAATTGCTTCTAATTTTCTGAATCATCCCTTGATAGCCCATAGTATTCCAAGAACGATAATTTTTATATCCGATCTTGTAAAATGCTTCAAATTTTAAAAAAAATAAATAAATAAAATTTTAGTCAAATTCAAATTTTTACAATAGAATTAATAAAAGATACTTATCGTTTGCCTAACGTAGTCAAATTTCGCAATTTTGATTGGTTGAATCGGTATGATGATCGACGGTCCTGAGTCAAACCATGGTTTCCATATTTGGGACGGTCCTACCTGTACCTTGCTCGTATTTTCGTATTTTACGTTCATAGATATTCTACTCGGAAAGTTCGCCCAATTTCAGAGGTTTCGGCCAGTCTCGCCCAATTTCGGAGGTTTCGGCTAGTTTCGCCCAATTTCGAAGGTTTCGGCTAGTTTCGCCCAATTTCGAAGGTTTCGGCCAATTTCACCTAGTGTCGGATGTAACTTTATACTTATTTATGCATGTGTTTCTCACATGATCCGAAACTTTTCATATTTTATTGGCTATTTGTTTCGAAAGTATTTGAAGTTTCGCCCGTTTCGGAGGTTTCGCCCAGTTTCGGAGGTTTCGGCCAGCCGAAAGTTTCGGATTAGGCCGAAACACTGATTGTAACTGGAATAGCGAGTAAGTTTGTACCAGAATTTCTTACAGTAACGCATGATAGAAGTTGCAATTATTAACTAAATGACCTTAATCACATGCTATGTGTAGGCAAGTTTTATAACAGAATTTTTTACAATAATTCATTATGATTAAGAGCGGTACATTTGCGCCACCCATCCGCACTAGTAATATTATGGATATAATTATTTATATTTGTATATATTGTTATGGGTTCCTCATAACAGTTTCTATTTGAGGTTTGTACCACTTTTTTGATTGGAAACGTTGTTAGTATAGTTTTAGTGAAAACGTAGTTCCAGGAAAAGTTAGTTCAAATATTATTGCTCGGGTTTCCTTCTAATTATTCAAATTATATATTTGTCTGAGAGTAACAAAAGTACGCTCTCACAAATTCCTCTAAAATAAAGATCGATAAGTTCACACTCCTTTATAATAAAAAGTCACAAATATTCGGACTTCTCTAATTTTATACGTATGACCATCCGTATAAAGTTAACCATTAAAGTTAAATCGTGCCGAAACTGTATAGCTTTCCCCTTCGATGATAACATATTTAAAATTGAGCACATACACATTTCAGGGCCAATGATTTTCTGCGTTCACGGAATTGGTTCAGATCATTTTAAACCTTGGCCTGGATTTAGGGTCTAAAGTCATAATTTGCGGATTATAATGCTGGCCGACTTTACATAATTCTAGCCAATCACAAAATCTATATATAAACATCTTTTATCGCGAACGGAATTGGCATTTTGTCACCACAGAAAATCTTCAGCCCTGACATATTTGTACCACTGTTCTTATATATTTCTTTTTTTGGTTATATATCCTTTGCTTTGTTCTCCTTAATGCATATTATATATATTAACGACTTTTTAATTTATTGTCAAAATAGTCGCTGGATGAAAGAAAAAAAAATCTCGTGATCAATCAAAGAAAATTTTTAATTTTCAATCTGCGCAACGCAGATTACACATATAGATTTAAACGTTGTTTGTGATACAACAAATTAGGGTAGCTTATATATAATGACGTACGTACGTACAATTCGTACAGTACGCAGCGGTAAAGCAGATAATTTTATTCTCTAAATAATGGATCAAGTATTGGCGCCTGAATATTTTGGGATAATTTTTAGATTCCTTTCGACTAATAAAGATTTTCATTCCTGCCTCTTGGTCAATAAACATTGGGCTACTTGTGCCGTTCCAATTTTATGGGAAGCACCTTTTAAAATTAATGATAGGTTTACTCCGTCACCTAAAGTGATTCAAACCTATCTTGCATTCATACCAAATGAGATTTTTCTTAAACTTGGTTATAATGAAAGAATTGGACTGTCTATTACTAGACTTCCTTTGTTTGATTATCCATCATTTCTTAAAGAACTTCAATTCGACCGATTCCTTAGTGCAGCTATAGCAAGTAATTGTTGTAAAGATATTATAATTGAATTATTCAAAATGCTTACTGTGAAAGATGTAAGATTACGACGATTTGATATCTATAATTATTTATTTATTCAACATTCCGAATCTCAAAATACGATGGCGTCTTTGGTTCTTCCCCATTTTTCTGAATACACTTCTATGCTGAGTAGATTAACCAATTTTAATTTCAGTTATCAATGGCCAATGCATAAAGCACAACTTTTTAATATTATAGCAGAGAATTGTTATAATATCGAAAATCTTAAAGTTAGTATTTGTTATGAGGACGAAGGGATAGCGTCAGCGGCTCTTATCCATTCTCAAAGACACTTAAAAAAATTTTCCCTGATAAACAGTAATAATTATGCATCATTTCCTGTCCAAGCGTTTGTGAACCAAAAGCATGCACTTAAGAGTGTAACATTTGAAGACATGCATTGCAACAATGAGTTAAGCGAGACGGATTTTTTTAATTATGCTATTTGTCATTTAAATAGTAGTGCCATCGATGCACTTGCTCAATGTACAAAAATCAACAAATTGAAGTTTAAGCACTGTGAAAGGCTCAACACTTCTGCATTTTTTCCTCTTGCCTCTGCCTTTTCAAACTTAACATCTTTAGAATATTCTTATGGAACTTATAATATTTGTGATAATGCAACCCCCATTAAATTATTATCCAATCTCATTAGGATGAGTTGTAATACACTCGAAAGAATTATACTTGACTGGCATTCCCATGACTATCTTGAAATTACTCAGATTGTTGAAGCCATTACATATGCAATAAGTCTTAAATATTTAAAAATTCCACTTTATACATTATAACAACTTGCTCTAATTCATAAAACCATAATCAATTAAAAAAACTTGAAATTCATATGAATAAAAGAATAAATCCACATAGTGCTATTTCAATTTTTGCAAGTGTTCCACTCAAAAGCCCTAAACATTCAATTCTTTTGTACTTTGATTATTATTTATATTCCAAACTGAAAAGCAATCGATTGAATCAAATCTTCGAAGCTATTTTTTACAAAAGTAATCGAATTGTTGATTTGGTTTTATGCCTTCGTAATAACTCATATCCATTACTAGAAGGGAAAGAAATACTTTTAAAAAACTATCCGAGACTTAGAATCAATATTCTGAATAGATCGAATAGATCGAATAGGTGGGGTATATATATTTTTGAACCTTTTGGGACATATTCTGATATATGCAATTATGATGAATTGCTTAAAATTTTTGATGATTTATTAAATATAAAGCCAGATGATATATGGGCTATAAAACAACGTGGTGCAACTTACTTTAGCATGAGAAATTATATAGAATCACTTAAAGATTTGAACAAGTCTTTAGAGATTGAGCCTACTGATGCATGCGCATTAAGACAACGTGGAGAAATCTATGACATTATGGGAAACTATGAAGAATCATTAATAGATTTAAACAAATTATTAGAAATTGAACCAAACAATGCATGGGCGTTCAAATTTCGTGGAATTACTTATTCCAAAATTAAAAGATATGAAGAGTCACTTAAAGATCTGAATAGTTCTTTAAAAATTGATCCAAATAATTCATTTGCATTGCAAAAACGTGAAGACGTTTATTGTAAAATGAAAAGGTTTGATGAATCACTTACGAAATTAAATAAATCTCTTGAAATGGATCCAAATAATGCATTTGCATTAAAAAATAGGGGTGCAATTTACAGAATAATGAAAATGTATGATAAATCACTTGCAGATTTAAATAAATCTCTTGGAATAGAACCAGATGATGCATTTGCACTAAAAAATCGTGGTGCAATTTATAGTACAATTAATAGATATTATGAATCACTTACTGATTTGAATAGATCTCTTGAAATAGAACCAAATGATGCATTTGCACTAAAAAATCGTGGTGTAACTTATCTTATGATAAATGAGGATTTACTCGAGGAAGACATTAAGAGCTCATGCGACCCATACTACCTATTTATTTATCTGTCCCCTGGATATTATCGCAATAAAAATCGTAATATAAAATATATAAAATCGCTTGCGGATTTAAATGAATCACTAATTATTGAACCGAATGATGCGTCTGCATTAAGATATCGTGGAATAAATTATCGCAAAATCAAAAAATATGAAAATTCAATTAATGACTTAAGTCATTCACTTGCAATTGAACCGAATAATGCATTTACTTTACAACAACGTGGAATAGCTTATTACTATATGAAATTATATGATAAATCACTTGAAGATTTAAATGAATCATTAGATATTGATCCAAGTAATGCCAATTCTTTAGGGAGTCGCGGAAGGACTTATTATATGATAGAAAATTATGAAAAATCACTTGAAGACTCAAATAAATCATTGGAAACCGAACCAACTAACGGAATTGCATTGGGAAATCGTGGTGCAAATTTTAGAATAATGGAAAGATATAATAACTCTCTTGCAGACTTAAATAAATCTCTTGAAATAGAGCCAGATGATGAATTTGCATTAAAAATCGTGGTGCAATCTATAGAATAATGATGAATCACTTGTAGATTTAAATAAGTCTTTAGTGATAGACCAAAATGATACATTTGCATTAAAAAACCGTGGTGCAACTTGTCTTCTGATGAATAAGGTTTTACTCGAGGAAGACTTTAGGTGCTCATACGACCAATACTACATTTATTCATTCCCTATATATTATCGCAATGAGAATCGCAAGAGTAAACCGTATATGTATAATAAATCACTTGAAGATTTAAATAAATCACTAGAAATTAAACCAAATGATGCATTCGCATTAATATATCGTGGAATAAATCATTGCAAGCTTAATAACTATGAGGAGTCACTTAATGATTTAAATAATTCACTAATAATTAAGCCGAATGATGCGTTAACATTTCAGCAACGTGGAGTAACTTATTTTTATATGAAAATGTATTATAAATCACTCGCAGATTTAAATAAATCATTAGAAATTGATTCAGATAACGCCAATACTTTTGGAAACCGTGGAAGAACTTATTATATGATGGGAAAATATGTGAAATCACTTGAAGACTCAAATAAGTCATTAGTAATAGATCCAACTAATTCAACTGCATTAGGAAATCGTGGTGCTATTTATAGAATAAAGAGAAATTATAAGAAATAAATTGTAGACTTAAATAAATCTGTCGAAATAGACCCAAATGATGCGTTTACATTGAAACATCGTGCTGCAACTTACCTTATGAATAATGACTCTCTCAATGATTTAAGCAATCCATATGGATCTTGGTCCAATTTTTATTGCGACATTATCAAAACTTATTACTCACCACTTTCAGATTTAAATCATTCACTAGAGATTGAACCGAATGATGCATTTGCGTTAGCATTTCGTGCATTATATTATTTCAAAGTTAAAAAGTATAAGAAGTCGATTGATGATTTAGATAATTTACTAAAGATCGAACCAAATAATATTTTTATATTGCAACAACGTGAAATAGTTTATTATTACAATTCACTTGACAATTTAAGAATTCTACCAAGAATTAAACCGAGTAATGCTTACACATTGCAACAACGTAAAATAACTTACAATAAATCGCTCATGTATTTAAATAAATTGTTAGAAATTGAGCCGAATAATGCATTTACCTTACAACAACGTGGGATTATTTATTATAATCTGAAGAGTTATGATAAATCGCTAGCAGATTTGAATAAATCATTAGAAATCGATCCAAATAATGCCGATTCTTTAGGATATCGTGCGAGAGTTTATTACATAACAGGTCAATACGAAAACTTATTTGAAGATACATATTATGCGTTAGTAGTTGAACCAGAAAATGCAATTGCTTTAGGAAATCGTGGATCAATCTATAGAATAATGGAAAAATATGAAGATTCTCTTGCAGATTTAAATAAATCTCTTGAAAAAGAACCAAACGATCTATTTACATTAAAAAATCGTGGTGCAATTTATTATATGTTTCATAATTTTAAAAACTCTCTCGAAGACATAGAAGCATCATTAATGATTGATCCAGAAGATTCATTTGTGCTAGGATATCGCGGAGCAATTTACTGTAAAATCGGCAACTATAAAAAATCTCTTGAAGACTTAAATAAATCATTAATAATTGAACCAAAGAATTCATTTGCCTTGCGACAGCGTGGAATAGCTTATTTTAGTATGAAAGAATATAATAAATCTCTTGCAGATTTAGATAATTCTTTAATATTAGAATGCCTATATTAAATAAATTTATTGCTAAATTATTAAATAATCTTAAAAATTTATAAAATGTTGTAAATAATAAAAAATTTGATAATTAATCTTGTAACTTTAACAAATAGTATATCTTATTCAAGTTTATTAAATCAATAAAATCAAAAATATTTAAAGATGCTTGTTTTATTTTCTAATTATAGTTTCTCGCACCGTATAACTATGTGCATTATTTCATGATCAATATATTAAAGTTTAATTTAATGAAAACAGAAGCTTGCAATACAATACAAACATATCAATAGATGTTTATTATTTCATATATTTGAAAATCGGTCAATCTTTAAGAAAAAAATCATAAATTTATACATAACAATATGTGAAGTAAGATTAACTGAAAAGCCATTATCAGCGACAAAGATGATATAGCAATAATTAAAAATATAATTTGAATAATTGCTATGGATTTACAACTCTTCAAATAATTCAAATTTAATACAACCATTTCCATGATTAAATCCACCTTCATTTTTAAAAATTGTGAATCTGCCATTGCCAAATCCAGAATATGACGCCCGGCATAATTTTGTTGAGCATAGAGATTAAAATTACCTTTTTTTCCCTTAAAAATTAGATTGACTTCTGGGCCTCTTGGATTTATACTCCAATCGTTTTGCTTAAATACTAACCTTGCCATATTTCCTTTACTAGCTCTTGAAGTAATAACGGCACCCGGATCAGGAATAGATACTGCGACGCCCGCTGCTATCTGTGCACTTACAAATCTTAACGTTCTTGGTCCAAAATTGAAAACATTAACAACAAGATATTTGGCTTCATTATATGAAGGTTCGCCCTTTAAAACTTTGCTGTCGTCGTATTCATTATCAGATTCATTACTAAACATCCGGTGCATAAAAGAGTGATTAGATAGGGTAATGTTAGTTTGAATTAGAATTATAATGATTTGTATAGCTATTTGCTGTGCTTACAGACTATTGTGGTGACTTGAGTTTTTAGATAGGATTATGTTAATTTTGTTTTTAATTTATCATAATTTGTATAATGATTTACTATAAATAACTCCGCACTAAACTTACACGTTATGGTAACTTAAGTGATTTAGATAGAGTTATGTTAGCTTTGTGTTGGATTTTTGTGATTTGTGCAATGAAAGACTGTAAAAAATTTCGTTATTGTACTTACACGCTATGGCGATGGTAATATAAATGGATTAGATAATGCCATGTTAGTTTTACACGGGATTTTCATATTCTGCATGCAATTACTGTAAAATTTTTGTCACTGTACTTACTCGCTATCACGGTATAATTTAGATATGGTTATGGATTTATCGTGATTATGTTAGTTTTTTATTGGTTTATATAGTGATTTCTGTAAAAATTATGTCACTATACTTACTTGCTATAGCGATGGTAATATAAATGGATTAGATGATACTATGTTAGTTTGTATAAAAAAAAAGGCTCTACTTACGCGCTATAGTGATGTACAATACGTTATTTTCATTAGAATTATTGTTATTGTATTTTAATTATTGATTTCTTTCGTGGTTTATACTTACTCGCTATAGTAAAGTAAGTAATTAAAATAAGTTATGTTGGTTTTATATAGAGGTCTTACCCGGGTCAGAAAATACCGACCCGGGCGGGTCAGGTATTGACCCGGGTTATAACCCGGGTCAA